TATATATATATATATATATATGGCTGGGTCTCCTCTTTTTTTCAGCTGTTTACTACTTTTTAAAGCACATCTGGTCAACAAGCTGTCATGTTCAAATGGGTCCAAAGTCCATAGAAAAACTCTGAAAGTCTCTGAGAACATCTGGAGGACTACTGATGAAGACCACTTTAAGGAAAGTCTGGCTGAATGGAAACTGAACATAAAGCAGTGAGGGCTGATTTAAAACTTTTACACACGATTCCTCACCTGGAGCTGAGATCGGTTTGAGGTAACCCTCCACTTCCTGCACGGGTTTTCTCCAGACCCAGTTTGGTGAAGATGCCCACCAGCACCATGACAGCAACCACCCCACATATGATGTAAACGATGAGGTGTGTGCGGTCCCGGTCAGCGTCCCCCTGACCCTCGGTGATGGTGGCCACTGGCTTGCCAGTATTGGCCCAGATGGGGGTGTCGTAGTTGGAGCAGATGGTCTGGTCCAGTCGCTGCTGACGGAACTGACAGCAGAAGCGATAGAAGCAGGTACCACAGCAGTAAAGGAAGACACCTGCATTGCAGTTGAACGGCGGGTCCCACTGACCCATCACGTCGTAGTAGCCTTGGCAACGCGTCCCGCCACTGGGGGGGATGTCTTCATCATCGGCGTCTCCACCACTGCTGGGAGTGGAAAGCTCTGTTTCCACAGAAGGACTCTCAATTACCTCCTTGGAGGTGGAAACCGTCTGGTTGGTCAGTGTGGTGGGAACGATGAGTGGGTCACCCTCGGGTTCTGTCACTCTGGATCTGGGTGAGTCCTGGCTGATGGCTGGCTGCCGAACCAGGAAGGACATGAAGAAGGAGAAGAAGAGAAGAAGATGGCAGGATGAAGGAGTGGTGGCTGCCATCCTTCTCAGAGAGCTCCTTTCCCTGAGGTCCCACCTTTAGGTCTTGAACAGAAGGGGGACATTTTGGAGACAGGTGGAGAGTGTTATGATAGCGTCACTGATAAGACATTTGCTTTTGTAAACCAAAAACACACAAACATTTCAAATCTTAAATTCACACAAACATTTCAAATCTTAAATTCACACAAACATTTCAAATCTTAAATTCCTTGAAGGAATACTTCATCACCTTTCATGAGTTTTAGCCTGTGATCATCACATGTTGGAGTGGAAGCTCCTGGGTTTTTAATGTTTGGTCGAACATTACAAATAATAACAGCCCTCTCAAAGTACATATACTGTAGAAGATAACTTGCAGCAGTGGCAGATCTAGGACTTTTCTGAGTAAGGGGCCATTAAGGGGCCACAATATTCATAGAGAGGCTAAGTCTTTGTTCATCATGCTTTCACACAAATCCCCAGTTTTGATAAGATGTATACATTTAACCAGACAATGTTCAAACACTTGTAATGTCATTTTTTAAAGGGTACCAGTTTACAATAAGGCTCCCCCTATAGATGGCTTTTAAAGAGTTTATAGATAGGATAGGTTATTAATTCATCTGTAAACACTTTATAAATTATTAATAAGTGTTTATCATGCATTAATTAAGGCCAAAAAAGAGACTGAACTGTCTGGTTTCTTTCCAAATACTGAGCCAAATCTGTTTGGGTATTAAACATTTCAGACTAGTTTACTACTTTGTAAGCACAATATTGATTAGGAAACACATACTTTAACATATAATATTGTACATAGTGTGCATTATAAATATCCAAATATTAAAGGGATCCTTATTGTAAAGTGTAAAACTGTACACTATTTTGGACAGGGTGTAACCATTTGGTTAACATGACTTTTTTTACTTTTTTGATACATCATCATTGTTGACAATAGTTACATGTTTGAACAATAATTTCAAATATTGATAGTCAACACAAAGTTTTAAAAATGATTATTTTTCACATTAAAGACTAACTTTTGGCATTAATACATGTTTATTTGTCATTACGATAAGTCTCCCTTTGACAGCTGTGAATTTTTATAATGCAGTAATACAGTACAAATTTAATATGTTTAAATATGTGTTTATCGTTTTTGTGTGTAGTAACCCAGTCTGAAATGTTTAATATAGCACCTTTAGATACATGAACAGATTTGTCTCATTATTTGGTAAGAAACTGGACAGTTTTGTCCTTCTTGTCCTTAATTATTGCATAACAAACATTTGTTAATGATTTATAAGGTGCTTACAGATGAATTAATAACCTATCTATAAACTCTTTATAAGCCATTTACAAAGGGGGGCCTGAATGTAAAGTGGTAACAAAGTCTTGCACAGTAAATTCTGCTTACCAGTTTTTCATACATTTTACTGAACATAGATACAAATATTCTAAAACACAACATGTGAGAAAATCCAGCCATCGTCAGACGAAAGACTTTTTTTTACAGGATTGTTCAAATGTTCTTAAGAAGAGAAGAAGAATTCTGTCAGCTTGATTCATTCTGGACATTACTATTTGACTCATTAGAGCCCCTAGTGTTTGAACATGGAACTGCATCCACCATCATCACTGCCAGGTAAAGGACAGATGAGTGACAGGACAGGGGCACTTCATGGGGCCAATCAGATTTTAGCTGGGGCCAATGCCCCTGTGGCCCCGCCCCTAGAACCGCCCCTGACTTGCAGCTACAACTAGAACAAATTCTGGCGCAATACCTGTAAAATGGACCAAATTAAAGCCTCTTTTTTGTGTGTTTTCTACAGTCATTTGGCCATGATGGCCATCTTGAATCATGTTGACTTCGACAGTTAATTAAAGATGTAAGTCTAATGTTTACTTTTAAAACTTTCATTAAACTCACGAGTGGTTTTTAACATAATGATAAAGAACTGACTGTAAAACATACACACAGATAAAACCATCATCAACACCATTAAAGACACAGTGTGTAGGATTTGTTGTTTTCAGCGACATCTAGTGGTTGAGTGGTTGAATCATCCTCCCTGGTCCTCCCCCC